TAGGGTCCCTGGTGGGGGGGGGTAGTGTGGCCTTGAGGGATTAGGGTCCCTGAGGTGAGGAGAGAGTGTGGTTTTGGGGGATTAGGGTCCCTGATGGGGGGTGGCCTTGAGGGATTAGGGTCCCTGATTGGGGGGCAGGGGGGGAGAGTGTGGCCTTGGGGGATTAGGGTCCCTGATTGGGGGGGGCAGGAGATCCTGGCCTTGGGGACTAGGACCCTGATCAAGGGGGGGGAAGTGCAAATGTCAGGCCCAGGTCTGGGTTCCTTTCCTGGCTCCTGCACCTGATCACCTGTGTCATCTTCAGCAGGTCACTTTCTCCTCTCCCCACTTCGTCATCTCTTCCCTGGCAGCAGCTGGCTGAGGCTGGAGTCAGGCAGAAGGCAGGGCAGGCTGACACCTGGGAGCCCAGCTCCTTCAGAAACATAAACTTTCCTAGGCCACAGCCTTCTTTGCCAGGTGCTGTAAGCGGCCTATAGAGAGGAATGGCCTCCTTTGCAAAGTGCTTTTGAGATCTCCTATAGCACTTGCCTGTAGTTCTATGTATTCCTGTAAGAGAACATAATTTGCTTGCTCTTTCAAAACTGCTCTATACTGAGATTATTTTGTTTCTACCAACAAGTGCTGCATGGTAAGATCATGTTATAGCCAAGTGCTTTCTGCAGTTTTTTCATTGCTCCATGCCTTCAGACACTTATTCCAGACATACAGAATAGTACGAACTAAGTTAAGCAGTCAGTCATCTGGTGAGACCCTCTTCTTTTCCTGTCTTTGCAGATGATGGCAAGCAGGTCTTGGTTGACATTGAAGAGAAAACCAACAAAGAGATAACTGAGCGTATTAAAAAAATCTTTGGTAAAAGCAGGTAAGTAAATGCATTCCCAAACTCAGGCCCAGCTTTCGCTTGGATGGATCTTCAAGGCACCACTGTATAGTCTGTTGGCTTGATGCTGGGGAAGCTAACCTGATGCTGAAGGGGAGAGAAAGGTGGCTGACAAAGTTGCTCAAACCTAAAGAGCAGGCCTGTTTCCACAGACCAGATCTGTGTATTGGAAGTGTTGATGTGCGGCGTTTCCCTGTGAAACTTTACTGCTTCAGTCTGTGAACAAAATGTTCTTCCTCTGTTTAAGCACCTGGGCAAAGGGAGGAGAAATCACCTTGTTAGTAGCTGATGGGCTTTTCTTTTCTAGAGAAACTCTCGAGAGAGAGGAGCAAGCAAAAAAGGAGGTCTTACATCCTGCCACCTTTGGCCCCAAGAAGTACCACTTGCGTGAATGTATGTGTGAGATTGAAGGCCAGGTGCCCTGCCCAGGAAAAGTGCCACTACCCAAGGAGATGACAGGCAAATACAAAGCAGCAATGAAAGCAGCAGCTGCCAGTGAATAAGTTATGCAGTTCTGCTGCCCTTCAAGCTTCCTAGAGAGGAAACAAACTGGACTATAGTACCTGATCAGCCTTGCTTTCCAAGAGGTTGGTCCCAACCAGAGAGGTAAAAATTAATGTTTATCACTCAAGTGAAAGACAATATTTGAATAAACTTTTCTTTGAGACTTCATTCTGTTCCAATTGTGGTAAGAAGTTTTTCCAGCCCATATTAATTTTGCCATCTATACCTGGCATGCTTCAACATTACTGTTTATGCCATGGTAAAGGGAGTACATCATCTCATTGAAATTCTTCTGGCTTTAGTTGGTCTTAAATCAAAGAACTATGTTCTAGTCCTGTTTTTGAGTGCAGTAACTTTTTTTTCCCTGTGACCCCAAAATAATTTCTAGCAGTAAAATGGGAAACTTCAGAGTATAGCTGCCTCCAGTAACTCACTTAAAAAACAAAATGTGCAGACCCCCACCCCCCCAATCTAAGAGTTTATAGCATTGTTAAGGCAGTTCAGTTCTCTGTGATCATGTAACATGTAGTCATTCTCATCAATGAGACTGGTATGATGAAGAAAATGAAGACTAAAAGATCACTTTTGCAGAACTAAATCTATGCCAATGGTTCTAAACCTGTGGTCTGCAGACCCAGGGGGTCTGCATACTGAGGGGTCTTCAAAAGGTGAAAGATTGAAAGTGGCAGTAGCCATGCTTACACCTCAAAGGGTCCTGTGCCTCCAGCTAAGTTTCTGCAAATGAAAAAAGGTTGAAAACCACTGCTCTAAGCAAACTCATGTTTGCACTATAAGTGAAGGAACAATTACTCCAAGGCTTGGATCAGCTGTCCATAAAGATGCTAGCCAACAAGCCAGTCACCTCTTCAATCTGACTGTAACTGCATGACCCCATTACATGGAGGCAGCACTATAAGTTTCTTTTCCATGACTAGTGTGTGAAGTAGAATTATTGTACATATAAATTGAACTGAAAAGTAATTTCTTAACTACATTCATACTGTGGCAAGAGATGTAATGTAATCAGCAGAAATGCAACTACATTTATCTTACTGGGAAGCAAGGATATAGATTCCAAAAGAAGATGCCATAAAATGGTGGCATGTTAAAAGACTACAGGCTAAAGAACTATTAGTAAATTTGACCCTTGGTCACATCCTCTGGATTAAAAAATCCCCACTTTAAAAAACACTTTCCACCTACCACGCACACAACAAAATAAACATGTTATTTTATTTAGTTTCTTTACAAAGTTTCAGTATAGAGTAGTGCATGCAAGTTTAACAAATGTCAATGCTAGTTATTTCACTTGATAGTAGAATGTCTTCATTCTGCTTTACAACATGATCTCCGTAGCAGTCCATACACAGCCATGAGGTTTTCACTTTGGAGATCTATCACTTTAACATAAGAGATCTAGTCTATTCATTTAACATGGACCAAGATCATGAGGTACACTAGTATGGTATGTTATCTGCTTGTAAAAATACATTAAGTTACAAGTACAATAAGTATATGTAATTAGTGTGTTAGACTATAAAATACAAACAAGGCAGGATATTGGCAACAAGGAAGAAAACCACTATTTTCATATGTAAGAAGCTGAAGTCTCTGAACCAGTCATTTCATCTTGAAGTTGAGAACAAGAGAAATCGTGAGCCAGAACTAGTCCTGTTCTAATATGAACAGTTCAGCATTGGATAAGTAACTGTTTAGTAGTTTCCCCCCCTTAAAAATGTAAACCACTTTGCAGATTGATTAAACTCAAAGCCAGCCGTGATGTACATTTCCCTTCAGTGATGAACCCTGCACTGCCACCCCTAGAGGTACCACAAAGGATTTCTGAGATATGGATGCATTTCTCACACCTACAAAACAATTCAGTTATATTGGGTTTAACCCAGTGCAAAATGCAGTTAAATGCCCCACTGAGACCCAAACTCCAATTTTAATGCCACAACCTGTAAGTGCTCAATTTATAACTGCAGGTTTTGGGTGCTAGTAGTTATTTTTTTAAGAAAACCTGCCTTCTATGCAACTGCTCTAAAATTACTGTTTAAATTAGTTACTAGCCAAGTGTCCTTAAGGAAAAAAAATACGGGAAGATACCCTGAACCTGATTGTGAATTTTAGGCAGGAAGATAATATTTTTAAAAGGTGTAGGTTAAAGTGATGCTCAGGTTAGAACCATGCTAGCCCAACTATCAGAAATAAAGTTAAAAACGATATTGCGTCCCACACCCATTCATATCTGCAAGTTTGTGCACTAGTAGTAGTGTCATGTGGTGTGGTCCGCCTGAACCACTCTCTATTTCATCTTTAAAACCCACATTCATTTTAGACCAAAAAAGACTTCCACATACAGGTGCCTCAAATGAAAAAATCTAAATCTAAAAACGTGGAAGACATCGACAAACAGGATGCAATTTTTTCAGAGATACAGGCTGTTGCATCTCCCATTGAAGCAAATCTTGATGTAGGTACCAGAATTTAGGTGTCTAGTTCTGGGCATCATTCACGCGGATCCTAACAAAGCCTCATCTGCTTGGTAGTTAAAATACATTAATTCTTCTTAGGCATGGCAGTTGAGTTTGATTCATATTCCCTTTAAAAGGAAGTAAGTCAGGTCTCAAATCAAATGGCTGAAAGGCATTATGAATCCCAAACTTTGTCCCAACTTTTTCACCATATTCCAGTACAGCAGCTTTTCAGCTTTCCCATTGCACACAAGGTTTCTGTCCCGGAGTGCTACATAAAAAGGGTTCCAGTCTCACAGGTAGGACACACATGATCATTCTGTCACCCACAGATTAAAGGAATGTGCAGCTTCCAAAAAAGTCATTAGGAATTCGAAGTTTTCCTCCATACAGCTTGAAATGGTGCTGCTGCGCTCCTCCTAAATGGGGGAAGCTACATTTTTATTTCTCTACAGGAACAGCTCTCCCCTAAACACAGTTCAGACCTCTATTTTTTACTCCTGTCATTTGGGACCAGAACAGGTGTAAGTAGCTAAAAAGATGGAGAAACAAAATGGCAGCATCAAAGCTTCCCTGGAAATTGTTATAAACAAAAAAAATTACACTTAGGGGATCACTTACGTTCTCTTATATCCCTAAAATCCCTTTAAATGTTTGCATTGCACAAATTGTTCGAAAGCCTTGTATTTTGCAGCTTAAAGAACTGTAGCAGCCTGCTTTTTAACAGCACTTTCTTCTACAATATGAAGGCATTTTAAGCTAGCCTCACTTGCATTATTCTTAGGGGACAGAGATGATGCATAGAACTTTTAGGTACTAGTTCTGGTTTTGTGTTAATTTGAAAGTCCAATCTATAATATTGCAACAAAATCAGAGGGAAAGATAGCAGTCGGACTTCTATATTGTCAGACTTCTCAACCACTGGATTCCCCACTGGCAGTTTGTAATTTGACCAGAAATAAGCATGTGATAGGAATAATTAACATTTAAAAATGTGGTTGTAACCAAACTAATTTAAAAATTCTTATTTAAAATGTCTGAGAACAATAGCACTAGCATCCTTCCTCATTTTCACTCCCCAAGTCTGAATAGTAGTGGAAACACCTAAACAAAAAGTGCATAAAATTCAAGATTTTCATAATTCCCTCTTGTAACCTGTGCTCCTTATTTATAATTCCACTTGTTCCACGCACCAGCATTAAACAGTGGACTAGCGAGTTATTTTTCCGTGAAGATACTAGTTTCAGCAGTTGGATTTCTCCTTTTGCTTTGCCAATGTGCGCTTCAGGTCCTTCAGGTTTTCTGTCAGTACCTCCACCTCATCCATCCGTCCACTATGTTTGGCATCAAAGATGTAAGCCTTAATATTATCTATCTGTTGGAGAAGCAGTTCTTCTTCTATAACTTCCTCCCCCGAGATCTCCTCATCAACTTCAAAGGGATTGGTGGAAGATGACTCATCAAATGGATTCCCAGAATTCTGAACACTCCTACCCTTTTGAAACGGGTCTCCATCACCCTTAAAAGGGTTTGGAGAACTCACAGCTGCCCCATTTGTTTCCTCATCTTCCTCATCATTTTCAAATGGATTATATTCTTTTTTATCATTATACAGGGCTTTGGTGGGGAAAGACATCACTTGAGCAGCGTCTTCAGCAAAAGGGTTGGTAGAGTCTTCATCTATTAGAGTAGTAGCTGCCTCATCTTCAAAAGGGTTTAGAGAGGTCTGATTTTGGTCTCTGTCACACTGGGAAGCTTCTCCAGTTTTAATTGAGAAGACTGTTTTCTCTTTACTTGCCAGTTGTTCAGCAGCATTCGGAGAAGGTGTTTTGGAGCTGGGGCTGCTTTTGATTTGAGTGGTATCCAAGTCCAATATATGCGCTATCAGGTTCTGATTGTCTTTCCCAACCTCATGCTGGTGCTGCTTTATTTCTCTGAAGTCTAAGGAACGTGTCCTTAAGTGCTGAGACATCGCTTTGTGCTGCTCCCTTTCCCACTCCTTTTCACAAAGGACCTGAAGTTCTTCCCTCTGCATTTCTTCCTCCTCAGCCTGCCTTTTAGAAAGCTCGATAGCTTTCTCAGTTTGCTGTTGATCATACTCATCCTGAAGTTGCCGCAGGTTCTCTTGTAACATACGGACCTCATCTATTCGGTTAGCTGCCTTTGCTTGCTTAATAAAGGATGTAATATTATCAATCTGCTGGAGCAGGGGGTCTGCTATCTCCCTTTGGCGAGATACACTGGATGTAGGCAACCAACCTTCAGAATTTTTTACTGTGGCCTTCTTTAGATGAGGTACCTCACCATTAAGTGCAGCTGAGGATCTGGAGACCATGTCTTTCTGTTTTTCCTCTTGTTTTCTCTGTGTTTCAAGTGCTGCCTAAGACAGAAGATTTAAAAGGGAACACCATGAGCTTGAGAACTCTTCCCCCATAAAATCTTCTATTTACAGATACAATCAGCACTCAAGAGGAATACAGCTGAAAGGAGTTAGCTGCTTTTGGCTGATTTCTGAATTTGTATCACAGTAGAGCCACCTTGTAACAAAACAAAACAAAAAAAATCTTTACAAACAGGGGAGCCACAAAACCATTAAAAATAAATTATAAAGAGAGTGGAATGTATTCAGTTTGATGGTTGCTCCATCAGAAACTATTTTAAAATACTTGTACAAATTTGACAGTGTCTGTT